CACACACACACACACACACACACACACACACAGAGAGAGAGAGAGAGAGATGTCTTTTTTAACTATCGTTACTTAGGAAAATATAATTTAAAAGGGAACATAGCTAAATATGATGAAATTTATAATAATAAATATTAGTAATTTACAGCAGAAAACGAAATGTAACCATTAAAATATTGGCGTAAAATAAAAATGTACACAATTAGAGTAAGTTAGAGAGTCTCCCATCAGCAGATTACGAATCATACTTTACGTACAGCCTGCGGTCTTTCTCGGTGGCTCCTGTTTCTGGCTCTCGGCGCCCCTCAGTGGTGACAGCGGGTACTGAGTGATGACGCTGCCACACTGCGCTTCTTACGTAGCCCGCGTAGCTACGTAAACACGTGCGCTTCGCTGCTTCCAGGTTACAGTTTTTTTTATTCCACCGTCATCCTCGCGCTCCAGCATCGCTCCCTGACAACAGCGGCGATGGCGGAGCCCGTAGCATCGGATGCAGCGGCCAAGACAGACGCAGCAGCAGCGGCATCATCACCCACACCGGGCCCCTCTCCCGTAGCCAGCCCGGGCTCCGAGCCTCCTTCCATGGCTCTCTCCCCCACCGCGGACGGCTCACAGCGGCTGCTCTTCTCCCACGACCTGGTCTCCGGACGATATCGCGGCTCAGTCCGGTTTGGCCTCGTACGGATGATCCACGGCGAGGAGGATTTTAACTCAGACTCGGACCTCGACGATGGCGGAGGGAGAGGCGGAGACGGCGGCGGCGGTGGAGGAGGCGGACGAGTACCGTGCGGTTCGGACACTGAGAGCGCCGTGGACACCCCAAGTCGGCCTCTCGGGAGGGGATTTGTCCGCGTCCAGTGGTACCCCGAAGGTGCGAAGCAGGACATCAGGGAGACAAAGGTACCACACAGCTGCTAACGTGCTTACTGTTTACCCCGGCAGTCGGTGGTTATCTCAGCCTGACGTCAGGACTGCTTTGTTTCACCTGCCTGTTGTGGTTTTTTGGAGAGGGGGGTGATCGGCGGACTTGTTACCCAAGCAGTCATCAGCTTCACCTGATCCATCAGACTAAAACCTGCAGCCTAGCTCGCTAATTGGCTAGCATTCAAGCACACAAGCTAGCTAGCAGTTTAGCTCGTAGCCTCATGTATTTCAGCTGGTCCCGGCAGGTTGAGCAGGGTTGATCCACCTGACTGCAGCCAGCTCGCTGCTAGTACACCAAACACACACACACCACTGACCGGACAGGTAGGGGCTTGCACAGGTCCTGTCAGGTGCACCTCCCTGCTTAGACACCTTACACCTATTGATTAGCTCATCCTTGACTCAGTGTAGATCCTCAGCTGGGTGTGACCTGGCCTGAGACCAAGCTTTGTGTGTGATAGAAGATCTCTTATTATTATATAAACATGCATATCTGAGTTGAACCTGATCCCAAGCACCGAGGTCAGACCAGGAGAACGAGGCTGTAATCGTTGCCCTGTCCCCTCTATCAGCTGCAGATGTTTTCCAGCTCAGTCACAATGAATGAGTTAGTTGAACAGCAGGGATTTAATTTGAAATTTTTAATTTCTTTAGAGCACATTTACTTTTCATTGCGTTTATTATTTACCTTAATTAGTTCAGAACATTGAAACCAAACTCGTGCTGCTTCTTTTGCATCATTGTGAGCATATTTTTGCATTTTTTTTTATTTTTTTTATTTTTTTTTGTTTATGGCTGCTGGTCATTTTAATATTTTAATATAATTTTGATAGTGCAGATATGCTGAACTGAGAATTTATAGTCTATGGCTGATAATTTCTAATGCTCCTCTATAGCAGGGTTTTACATATCTAACACTAACAATAATTGCTTCCACCCAATTATCTGCTCGATCTACCTCCATGCCTTGGGGTTCTGTAGTGTCCTTTTAGTCATTTGAATCCAAATCTTGTTGATTACTGTGCTTTGTATTTTCTCTGTCGTTTCAAATGTCAGGAACATTACCAAGAAGATTTGAATTAGTTTTTTGCATTAGTTCACACAGACCTAGAGACTGGATGGAGAGTGGTTGCTGGAGGTTGCTGTCTTTTGCAAACTGTATGCTGCGCCAATAACCTCCTTGTGGTTGCTGCAGTCGCCTATAGTTTGCATGGAAGGTGTCAACTTGCCCGTATTTGCCAACAAACCATTGAGCACTAGTGAAATTTACACTGCTCACCTTTAATGTAAGAGTTGTACCTTACTGCTGAAACCACCATGTTTCAAAAGGCGTAACTCTTTACTTTGAAGGCAAACATTAGCTATTAACACACAAGTGTTGCACTCTTCAGTTTCACTGCCACTTGGCGAATAATGAAGTCAGAGTCTTCTCTGCAAAGGACGAGTGACCACAGCAATCACAAAGAGCTTTTTGGTGCGGCACCCTGTCTGGGCATCAGCGCCTGGAGATTCGGTTAATTCATAGTTTCAGATCATCCTTAAGGACACTAAACCTAGTGTAGGTTATATTTTTTGGGAGGGGCTGTTAAGTGAAGAGGGTACAAAAAGGGTACAAAGATCAGGGAAGACTGTGCAAATGTCCTCACGCAGATTTGTTATGGGCCAGGTGCTTTACCCATGAGCTAAACCAGCACCCAAGAATTTAGACTCTTGCATCCCAAACAGTACAGTTGACATTATTTTAACTTTAATTAATTACATCACTCGTTGGTGGTGGTTGGACACTGTGAACCTGTATGTTAAAAATTCAGCTGTCATTGTTGATCAGTAGTTTGTTGATACTACCAGTATGTTCAACACTGGGGCGATTATGTGGAGTGCAACCAATATGAATCAATACCTTTTAACTGAGATATCAAGGTGATTGATTAAAATTCTGAAGGCTATTGAGGTATGAAATATAGATTTAGACTCCTGGACGCCATTCATTTGTTTTGAAGTTTAAAGTCTGCATTTATAAAGTAGACAGCAAATATTTGCAAACCTCTGGCGATTTCTCTGAGTGATTGCAGTCAGTCCAAATCAGACTGCAACAGCTTGTAGAAAGATTGCCACCCATCAGGTAGGTTGAACCCCCTGCGTCGTAATATTCCCAAAGTATTTGTATTTAATGTATTTATTTAATGAAATATTCATATTTGGCGCCCCTGTATCGAAACAATATAACAATGCAAAAATACACTGACACTATGCTGTATTGATTTTTTTTTTCTTTTTTTTCCTTTTTCTCACTCATAATAATTAACAGAGTACCACACAAAAGCATGAATGCCGGTAACAGTGCCAGACACTCAGATTTTAAGCTCTACAAAAATTGACCAGAGGAATCTAAATGGTCCGTAACACTTTGACTGTCTGGTGCAGTCAGCTGCTGCCTGTATTTGTCTAAGTGGCCACGCCCTGAACTCTAGCATCCTTTCTTCTTCTACTTTCAGCTGCTCCCTATATGGGTCTTCACATCTGCCTCCATCACACTCTATCCCTAGCATCCTCTTCTGTCTCATCAGCCCTCTGCATGTCCTCCTTCACTACGTCCATGAAACCTCCTCAACATCCTTTGTCATATATATCCACTGTCCCTCCTCTGCACATGGTCCAACCATCTCAGCCCTGCCTCTCTAACCTCTTCTCCAAAACCGTAACCAGAGCCGTCCCTCTGATAGCCTTATTTCTTCTGAGCATCTTCAACTCTGCCACCTCCAGGTTGACTCCCTTTATTTCTCTCCTCACAGCCATCTTTGAAACCTTCCCTTTTGCTTTAGCCACTATTCTTCTGTCACAAATCACCTGCGACACTCGTCTCCACCCACTCCACCCTGGATGAATTATAAAAAAAAAATCAGAGATTAAAACCATTTTTCTCCTGGGCAGTTAACATGCTTTTTAATGCTGTACATTTGAACATTTGAACATGGAAGTCTGTAGTGACTGGATTTTGGAGCCAGCCTCGAGGAACAGCAGTGTGGAGCGCTTCAGCATCAGACCTTGAATTCAGTCGAATCTGGACAGCACATATGTGATGTTGGTACAGAAAGTCGCTAACCTGCATCGGTATAAACTACAGTCTCAGCCTTCTAAAACCTCTTGTCAGCTTCAGTTCAGTTAGACATGTAAATTGCTGCGTACATCTTTGTGCAGTTTTACCATTTTACCACCAGATAATGAAGACGTTTTAGCAGGTGCAGACTTTGCAAACCTGTTGTTCTGTGCATCCTCTAAGCTTCTCTGGGGTTCTCCTGGGCTTTGTGGAAAAGGGTCACAGAGTTTAAAGGAGGACAGGCCTGGAACAAGCTCACACAGACTCATTTCAGAGACAGGATGTGACCAGAAGAAGCCTATTTTAGAGCCCAGCGCTGCCTTGCTTTGTCTTTCCAGTTAAATGAGAAAAGTTCTGGTCTGAGTGTCATTCAGACCTCAGTCAGAACAAAGGCAGAACGACGCGCCCCTTAAACAATGACGCTGATGTTTACGCAGCACCATGTCCTCTGTGTCGATGTGCACATGTATGGGTTTCATTGTGTGTCGTATTCGTGATTTCTCCTGTGCTTATCTGCACGCCCAGTCTCAGCAAGCTCATTTTGCATAAATCCTGAGAGTACAGTTTTACATCCTAATCAATCATTCATGATCACATCCTGCAGTATGCAAAGTTGCACATCTTCAAGGTGCTGTTTGCACAAAATTTCAACTTTTTATTTATTTATTTTTTTCTGCAGGCTGCACCTCATTTTCACTTCACGTTTTCTCTCAGGAGCGATCAGTGGAGAGAAAAGTGATGCTTAGAGTTACTCTCAGGTTTCATAAAGCGGACATTTTCACAGCGAAATAGGATTTTGGACATTGCGACCATTATGTGCAAACTCTAAATGATACAAGGCGATCAGTCTAATGTAGTTTCTTTGTTGCTTCATTTTAGCGCATGAAAGTGAAACCGTTCAAAGTTAAAATGATTGAAATGCTAAACTCTGCTTGCACAG